GGCGAGCCGAGCTCGAGCCTTGTACTATTCGACTCGGCTTGGCTCGAATCCACCCCTATCAGAGCACACTGTCATAAGAAACCTAGCTTTTTCAGGAGTAGGAGTATTCAGAAATTCTGAAAGGAGGATATTGGGTATGTTCTCAGGACTGATTGGCACCGGAAACTCATTGAAGGCTGAACTTTTGGCATTACTACAAGGTTTAAAGGTAGCAAAACAGTTAGGATACAGACATGCTGAGGTGGAAGGGAACTCAAAAGTAGTAATTTCCTGGGAAGCAAACAACAGCAATACCCCATGGACGTTTAAGCATGTGATTAGGGAAGTGGAGAAGATTGCAAAGGAGGTTGAGGCTGAATTTAAATGGGTCCAAAGGAGTGCAAATGGGCTAGCTGATTGTTTAGCAAAACAGGGGGCATTGAGACATCAATTATTTTGGGCTGCACTGTAATGAGGGATAGAATAGAGTGGTTAAAGGGATCAACAGTCCCATCACCAAGTTGTATAAACTATTTACAATCTGAAATTTAAATAAAATACATGTTTACTGATAAAAAAAACCTAGTTTTTTCCTCTTCCTAGAATATCTTATTGGTTGCATCTTGCAAGAACAGAAGAAAAAATAGTACCAGGTCCGATTGGATCTTAATTTTCCTCCTCATTTTCCTTTGGTTGAGTGACCAAGGCCTATTGTTTGGGATTGCTTTAGCAGTGAACGAAGCATGTGAGAATGTTGTAAAAGTACCAGAACAGAGCATCTGTACTGTGAGGTTCTGTAGGGCTGCTGTTATGCTCTAAGAAGGTCCAGAAAGGTCTATTAACCATCTGGTTTATGCAGGGGAGTGTTTTCTCTGCTGTTTTTCTCTGTTTTCTGATTGTTGCAAGGGGTTAATATGCTTGCAGCATGCTGGAATTGCAGTACAGTTATATTGGGTGCCCTGTAAGTGTTTGATGGTTTTCCTCACTAAAGTTTATGTGTACCAGTGGTGGTTTAAACGAGACAGCAGTGGTGCTGGAATCTGCATGGACTGTTTTATGCAGTAGTTGGACTGTTAGCGGAGTGCACAAGAGTGGTATAACAACTTGTGTTGCTGTAGCTAGTGTTGGAGTTTTTAGGCAGTGTGCTAAGGTGTTATTTAGAGTTGGCAGCAATGGCTTTAGAGAGTTCTGTCACTTCAAACTCTTCTGGAGGACTAGTTGGTTCTGGTAATGGAATGGACAGCACAGGGTTTTCTATTGTGCTCCTTGATGGACTGAATTACTTGGATTGGTCCAAAGGTGTGAAGTTGTTTGTTGGCACAAGGGGGAAGTTAGGGTGTCTCACTTGGAAGACTAAGAAGCCTATTGGTGAAGGGGCTGAAGTGGGAACAAGAGAATTATATGATTATGTCTTGGCTACGTCTTCAATTCAGCTTGCTCTTAGGAAAAACATTATGTGGGCTGAAACCACCAAGGAGATTTGGGAGCAAGCAAAGTCAACATACTTAGAAGAAAGGCATTTTGCTTGGACCTACCAACTTCAGCCTTAAAACAAGGTGAGAAGTCCCTTGCAACCTACTATTGAGCTCTTTGCCTCTTTCTTTCATGTGGAAGGAGCTGGATCATTACAAGACTAGATTGCAGAAGTTAAAAGGATGCTTCAGCATATAAAATGTTGCTCTCAAGAAAGGGTGTTTGCTTTTTTGGCAGGTCTGAACTCGTATATGAGCCTATTTGAGTTTATATTTTGGGTGGTAAGGAGCTTCCAAATCTTGAAGAGGTGTTTGCTTTAGTTCAGTTCGAAGAAACTAGGAAGGCTGCTATGAATCCTATTAAGGGGGAGCAATTTGCTTTATTGTCCAAGGGTGAAGAAAGATTAGGTATAGAAGAAGGGAAGATATGACAAAGACAAATTGTGGTGTACTCATTGTAAGAGACCTAGGCACACAAAAATTGCTTTCTCCACATTTGGCTAGGAAGGCCAACAACAGTTGAGTTAGGGCAACACTTCTCCAGTTCAGCCTGAGGTCTCTGTGTCTAAGCAAGGGCTTCTAATCACTATGCATGATCAATTTGAGCAGTTTAGGTGTGCCTTTAGACAACTAGAGGAGACTTGTATTACTCCCTTCACTTCTTATGCAATAAATTCAGATAATCAAGCCCATGTCTTTCATGTTTCACCCTTCCCTTCTTAATCACCTCGAATTATTGATTCAAGGGCTGCAAATATACGACTGGTAAGTCTTCTCTTTTCTCTTCTAATTGAGTTCTATCTAGTAAAGATAAAGTTAAACTTACTAATGGATCATTGTCTTCTATTGCTGGACATGGAGTTGTTTCTCTTCCCATTGGTCTTTGTTTGTTTGATGTTTACCATGTTCATAAAATGCCTTTAAATCTTTCTAGTGGTTGTATTACAAAGTCTTTGAATTGTTCTATAACCTTTTTCCTTGATTCTTATGCGTTATTGGATTTGACTTTGGAGACATTGATTGGTACAAGGATCAAAATTTCGTCATGTTCTCGTATCGGCCGATGCGTATCGTATCAGAGCCTTCCCGATACGCCCCTACAGGGGGTGTTTCGGGTTGGCGAGTGGTTCACGGGGTAGACTGGCCTTAAACTGGCCCCTCTGAACTATTTTCGAAAAAAATAAAAATAAACATAGAAAACAGTATCGATACAGGCCGATACGCCCTACCGGCGTATTGCCCTGTATCAATATTTTGAACCTTGGATTGGTAAAGGACGTATGATGGATGGTCTCTACATTTTGGATTTAGTGGCTTCAGAGTCTTCCAAGGGAACACGTTTTTTGAGTTGGAGTCAGCACACTTATCATTGTAATAAAGACCATATTTATCTCTGACATTGTTGTGTAGGCCACTTATCCTTTTTTTGTGAAGATCTTCTTTCTAGAATTGATTAAGATAATGTCTTTATCCTCATTGGAGTGTTCTACATGTCAATTGAGTAAACATTGTGGAAATCCATATCCTCCTATTAATAAAAGAGTTGATTTTCCTTTTCACATTGTGTATCTTGATGCTTGGGTCCCTTGTACTAGTATGATTGAAGCGGATATAGGTATTTGGTCAGTTTTGTTGATGACAAAAGTGAATATATTTACAGTCTAGATAGGAAGTTCCATAGGTTGTGAAAAACTTCCATCGTATGTTGTTTACTCAATTTCATAGTGTTGATACCTAGATTTTGCATTCAGATAATGCAAATGAGTATTTTTTTTTGATGAATGAAAATAATTTATTAAATCAGAATATAAGGCAATACAGGAAACCCATGAAGAGGCATGAGCTGTTACCTCTTCTAACAAAGTATTACATCAATTAAGAACCGGATAAGCAGA